GTGGGTAATGAGACACACAAGAAAGGAGTTAAGATACACACTAGGTTGAAAAGGGGAAGGGGTTAGGAGATACACACAAAGGGATGAAAAAGAGACACACAAAAGTCTAAAATTTGAGGAGGGGGGCTCCATCATAGATTTCAACCCCGGGTGACATGTAACGTAGCTATGCCTCTGATCACTATGACAGCCTCTAGAGGAGCTACCACTGCACTGACCAAGGATCATCCTCAGAAATTCAATGTTTTTGTATAGGTCTGAATGAGTGCACATCACTCACCAAGCAAGCGCATTAGGTTTCCAAAGCTTTTCTATGAGAGGCAAGTATCCTCCGTAACATTGCAAGAGCCAGATAGTTAAGCCGCACGAGTTAGTCTTAGGGCTGGAAAAAGAAAAATCTTTCATTTTAATGTACTGGCGGCTTGCTGGCCCCGAAATACTTAAATGATAATCAATGAAGAATAATCTCTGCTAATATAGGGCAAAGGTTACTATAATGTCAGAACCATGTCTGTGTGCCTTTTTGGGAAAACAGTTTATTTGCAGGAGTTAAGATTGGAGAAAAAGGGCCTTATAGTGGGGGAGTTTATACTCTTAAAGGAACACTAGAATGCTAGGAATATAAATCTGTATTACTAATGTTCTAGTGTTCATGCCCCTGGAACTATTAGGTTCCCTCCTCCCCCTCGTTTAGTCCTGAGAGGGTTTACTTACCTTGTTTCCAACACCAAGGCTCTGTCAGTGCTGCTGCAGTGCTTTTCCTTACATACATTTCATATAGTAATATTGGTAGTTTTACCAGATCCACCATGTTTTCAGGGACACATATAATATTGCAAGGTATGAAAATGCATGAAAAGGGTTGCCCTGCAGTATGTACAATGGATATTCTGCAAGATTCTTCATTATCTCCTTACTTCTTTTGAATTCTACATACTGCAGGGCAACTCTTTTTGAATGCGCTGCCCATCAATAAGTATACATTATTATTTATAAAGCGCTGTACAATGGTACATGATGTGTCCCTGAAAACATGGTAGATCTGGTAACTCTAAGCATTGAGGACCTAATGAGCATGGGTGGCAAACACTGCACATTCAAACTTTCCCATAAGAAAGCATTGAATCCATGCTTTCCTACAGGGCTTTACGTGACCGTGTTTTAATCAGCCACTAGAGGAGGAGTTAACCCTTTGCAACTGCAATGTTTTACACTGTAAAGTTAAGGGGATAGGGACATTGCACCTAGACTACTTTATTTTGTTTGAAATCGTCTGGGTGAAGTAAATGTTCTTTATGGAATCCTAGAATTTATTTCAAATCAATCCTCAAAATACATCAGCAGTCCAATTTCTGTTCTAATGGGGTTACTTATTACTTAAACTGATAGATATACCTGGATCCAGTGGGGTACTCAGGGGAGGCGGCCTCTCTGGGTGCCACTCACTAGGGGGGTGCCATGACTGCCAGTGTCATGAGTCACCCCGCATCAATTGTTATCGTGCGGGCCGTGGTGCCTTTGCGGCTGCATATCTGGCCAACTACACTATACTGCACTGACTGCAGTAATATGGAGAAACAGGGGGACAAGTGATGCTGACGTCACGCCGATGTGTGCCCCTGCCCACCTGCCCACCTTCATGGATCTCCAGGATGTAAGGCACCAGTGTTCGGAGCAGAGCAGGTCAGAGCAGAGGCATCATCAAATGTGAGTAGAGAATTTTTTTAAAAAAAAAGAGAGAACTTGCTGGCATTTCGGATCTGGACTGCCCGTACGGGTGGGACCAGTCTGATATGCTTCAGATATGTTCTCTCTGTAATGGCACAAGTTGAGCTAAAACCAGCTTGAGTTCTGAGCGGGGACCCACCGAAGGGCAGGCTATTTTAGCTGCTGTCCGTCCTCAGAATACTCTTGCGACCCATTTTTTGCTCTCCATTAGTTTAAAGGGTAATCCAGACGTGGACCCCTTGCTCACGGTGCCTAGAGAGATATCAGCTATGCCTCACTGACGATGCCTAACAAGGCTGAAACGATCGTCTGGGGTTGCTGTATCTCTCGTGCAGAGAGAACTTGCTGGCATTTCGGATCTGGACTGCCCGTATGGGTGGGACCAGTCTGATATGCTTCAGATATGTTCTCTCTGTAATGGCACAAGTTGAGCTAAAACCAGCTTGAGTTCTGAGCGGGGACCCACCGAAGGGCAGGCTATTTTAGCTGCTGTCCGTCCTCAGAATACTCTTGCGACCCATTTTTTGCTCTCCATTAGTTTAAAGGGTAATCCAGACGTGGACCCCTTGCTCACGGTGCCTAGAGAGATATCAGCTATGCCTCACTGACGATGCCTAACAAGGCTGAAACGATCGTCTGGGGTTGCTGTATCTCTCGTGCAGAGAGAACTTGCTGGCATTTCGGATCTGGACTGCCCGTATGGGTGGGACCAGTCTGATATGCTTCAGATATGTTCTCTCTGTAATGGCACAAGTTGAGCTAAAACCAGCTTGAGTTCTAAGCGGGGACCCACCGAAGGGCAGGCTATTTTAGCTGCTGTCCGTCCTCAGAATACTCTTGCGACCCATTTCTTGCTCAACTTTGTGAAGTGGTTGCATGGTTTTTGTATGTAGGGGTGCAGGGTTTTTTTGTGTAGGGGGTGTATGAACTTTATGTGATGGGTGAAGGGTTTTTATATGAAGGGGGTTATGAATTTGATATATAGGGTGGGTGCAGGGTTTTTATGTGCAATAAATACTCTTGAAAACGTTTGAAAATAAATTGTGGGTGTTTTTTTTTTTTTTACATTTGAAGGGGGGAGGGGGTGATGCCAAACACAGGGCCACCATGGGTGCCAAATGCTCTAGGTACGCCCCTGCCTGGATAATCCCAACACCAGCTGCAGAACAGTTGCTGAGATAAATATCAGACATGAAATGACAAAGTTTCAGATTTTATGTAGTTTGCTTCTTGGTTTTTTTGTAAACATTCCAGGATTAACCAACAGTGTAACAATGAATGACAAACAGTCTAAGAAGGTAGTCAAAAAGAAAACAAATGTAAACACAGTTCTAGGAGCCTATTCCCCACCTTGGGGCAGAAACTTCAAAATGTATCTGCCAGCTGTATTTTCTACTCACCTCCCATATATTCACGGTAAGGAAAGTATAATTTAACCCCTTAAGGACGGCGGGCGTTCTATGCCGTCCTTGAAGGGGTGGCTTTGAACGCCGGCGGGCGGCATTAAATGTCCCCGCCATCCTTTTCACTTACCCGATCCTCGCCATTCCCCCATTGGTGATCGGTGTTACTTCCGGTCTGGTGGGACTGTCTGACAGCCCAGACAGTCTCCCCCCCCCCCGCCCCCCCCCCAGCAAATTAGGCCTCCGCGTGCTGACAGGCAGTCTCCCTGCATCTGTAAAATAAAAATAAAATGTTAATAAATTTTAAAAATGTATATATATGTATATATATATAATGTCATACTAAGTGTATTATTATACACTTAGAATTAAATCACACACATATATAACTATATATATATATATATATATATTATGATAAAATATAAATAATAAGTAAATGAAAATAAATGTAAAATTTAAAAATAATTTAAAAAGATTAAAAAAAATATATCTATATCTATGTAATTTTATCCTAACTGTATTTTGGTGTGTATATATATATATATATATATATATATATATATATATTTATATATATCAAAATACACTTAGAATGAAATTACATATATCTACGTATATATAAATAAATAAAAATAATACAAACTATATATATCCATATATATAATTACAGATAAATAATTTCATAAATATACACGTAGACTACTTCAAATTTATAAATATATATTTATTAAAATTCTAAGTGCATATTTATATAAATTTTTTACCTAATAAAGTAATTTTATTGATTGCAATTTGAGGGACTTGCCTGACAACCCAGTCAGAAAGTCCAGAGAATTTAATTTGCTAGCACTGTATTTAACCCTGTAACTTTCCAAGACACCCTAAAACCTGTACATGGGGGCGTACTGTTTTACTCGGGAGACTTCGCTGAACACAAATATTAGTGTTTCAAAACAGTAAAACATACCACAGCAATGATATTGTCAGTGAAAGTGAAGTTTTTTTGCATTTTTTTGGTTATGTTGCCTTTGAGATTGTATGGTAGCCAAGGAATAAGAATATTGCAAGGTATTGCAAATGGTGTATGTACAGTCTTTTTAGTAGCCACAAACACTGGCCAAAGTAAGCGTTCATATTCAGGTTTTTTTTCATTTTTTACACACAAATATAAACGCTAACTTTGGCCAGTGTTTGTGGCAGTGTTTAGTAGCAAGTGGCTACTAAAAAAGACGGGACATACCCCATATTAAATACCCTGGGTCGTCTACTTTTGCAAATGGTATGCTATCATGGGGGTAATTCTAACTTCTTGGCTACGATACAGTGTCAAAGCAACAGAACCAGTCTGGCAAATTTCAGACTGGTTATAAAAAATGAACTGTGCTATATTTGACCCTGTAACTTTCCAAAACACCATAAAACCTGTACATGGGGGGTACTGTTGTGCTTGTGAGAAATCGCTATATACAAATATGTGCATTTTATAGCAGAAAACACTAACAGTATCATGACATTCACAGTTAAAATGCCATGCAGAACTAAAAAATTTTTTTCAATCTTCATTTCTCACACTTTTTTAGATGTTATTCATAATAAATGTTTTATATATGAATAGTTCATATTAAATTAAAGCCATATTTCTCCTGTACAAAATTATGTAAAATAAGTGTGGGTGAACCTAATATGAAAGAGATGAATTAAGGTTGAACATATACTTCCAGGTTCCTCTATCAGCACCCTGCCTTGGTTTGTAAACACTCTCACTAGCTATGTCTGATGTGTAATAAGGGATTTATTCGGTATATAAGGGGAAACACAGATTCTCCCTGTACTTCCTGCATTGGGAGTTTCACTTCCAGCTATGACGTTTCGACCTCTCCCCGTCCGACTCTCCTCCAGCCTTTCTCTGTCTGCGTTCTAATGTTTCCTGAACCATCAGCACGGATTGACACCAGAGGCGACCAATAGGTGGAGAGGCTGAGGAGTGCGGTGTGCGGTGATTGGCTGCTGGTCAGGCAGTGGGCGTTTCCAATTGTTTTCAGGCTGGGGATGAGGGCAGAGAGCTGTATTGGCAGTGAGGAGTTATAACATAGTGGAGCCAGACTGCCTGCTGCTTATTGAATTGTCTGGGGGTTCTGTGTCTCAGTTGATAGATACTGGGCATTTATTTGTGGCATTACCCAAGTTATGAGTGGTTAGATAGAGCCTGGTTTATTATCTGAACATTAGTTGCTGTACTTGGTTATATAGTATATGGGTTTAGTACAGAGTTTGGGGAGATTGTACCTTTTAGTGTATTTGCATAGGGCTGTAACTGTGTGACATGGTTAGCCATACATACAGGGAGTGCTACTTTTACAAGCTTTTAATGTTCTTGTAATGTCTGACCTGCTTTCCCCCATCACTGCTGCTTTCGGTTTGTGAGTCCCAGCTCTGGGCTACTGTCTGCTCTGTCCTGGGGCTGCCAGGATTGTTAGGGATGAAATAGAAGACTTGCACTTTGTGTATCATTGTTTGCTGAGAGGATGCTGGACTTTCATACTACATTTAATCTCACCAGAGATGTCATGCCCTGGATCCTTCTCCATGGATCACCTGGTAAATATTTTGTTTCCGTCAACCTTTCACTACTGAGCTACCATCCGATGTAAAAATGTAGAACTATAGTATTTGCTACAATGTTTCTCGCCATACCTTGCTTTACTGTAACGAACTGAAACCGCATACTCAACTTTCAGCTTTTACATAGCAATCTTAAATAGAAATTAGTTTTAGATCTGTCTTTTATTATTATTATTATTATTATTATTTTGCTTTGCTAACTCTGATATCCATACTTTTACATCACATTTTACTCCTCAGCACTCTATCATTCATTTATGTATTATTATTATTATTATTGTTTTAATATTGTTTATTTTTGTTTCATTTTTAGAAAATTGTGGTGAAAAAGCTGGCTCTGCATGGGGACATACAGAACCCGAAAGGAAAAGTAAGTAAAACCGGTTTCCAAAGATGTTTTGTAATAGTTATCAATCCGATTAAATATTTTGTAGTTTGTATTGTTAACTCTTTTTCACTCCCTGCCCCGTGTGTAGATGGTCAAAAGACTAAGGAGCATACTACAAACCCCTTAATACGGGCACCTGGTTTTATTTTCAGTTTGAGAATGAAGTCAGCGTGAGTCAGATGAGCTGATAGCCCTGTGTCATGATTTGCTACTTTGCATGTGATGTTTTTTTTTGCCACCAGTGTCTGCCAAAATGTATTAATATTATTTTTTCAGAAGTTTGCAAAGTTATGTTCTTTATGTCTATGTCTACTGTTTTGCACAGGCTGTGTACCAATGTAGGAAATAGATTCAGCTGCACTAATGATTACATCAATGCCCTACACATGTTTAGATTTATTCTTGACTTTTTGTATTTTTGTTTTTAAATCAACCTTTGTAATGAACCCCTTAACCCCTTAAGGACGGAGCCAAATGTACACATTGTGAACAAAACAAAATGTAAACAAAACCTGGCATTTGCGCTACATGTCTGTCAAACCGTAATACACCTCTTTCATAGTAAATGCACCCACCCTTATTATATATCATTTTATTCAGGGGAAACAGGGCTTTCATTTAATATCAAATATTTAGCTATGAAACATAATTTAATATGAAAAAAATGGGAGAAAATACGATTTTTTTGATTTTTTTAGTTCTAAATTGCATTTTAAAGGTCAGTGTCATAATACTGTTTGATTTTACTGCAATAAAATACACATATTTGTATTTAGTAAAGTCTCACGTGTAAGACAGTACCCCCTATGTACAGGTTTTATGGCGTTTTGGGAAGTTACAGGGTCAAATATAGCACGTTACATTTGAAATTGAAATTCGCCAGATTGGTTACGTTGCCTTTGAGACTGTATAGTAGCCCGGGAATGAAATTTACACCCATAATGGCATACCATTTGCAATAGTAGACAACCCAAGGTATTGCAAATGGGGTATGTCCAGTCTTTTTTAGTAGCCATTTGGTCACAAACACTGGCCAAAGTTAGCGTTAGTATTTGTTTGTGTGTGAAAAATGCAAAAAACGCCAATTTTGGCCAGTGTTTGTGACTAAGTGGCTACTAAAAAAGACTGGACATACCCTGTTTGCAATACCTTGGGTTGTCTACTATTGCAAATGGTATGCCATCATAGGGGTAATTTTCATTCTTGGGCTACCATAGGGTCTCAAAGGCAACGTAACCAATCTGGCGAATTTTAATGTGAAAAAAATGAAACACAAGCCTTATATTTGACGCTGTAACTTTTGAAAACACCATAAAACCTGTACATGAGGGGTACTGTTGTACTCGGGAGACTTCGCTGAACACAAATATTTGTGTTTCAAAACAGTAAAAAGTATCACAGCAATAATATTGTCCGTGTAATGCTGTTTGTGCGTGAAAAATGCAAAAAACGTCACTTTTACTGGCGATATCGTTGTAATACATTTTACTGTTTTGAAACACTAATATTTGTGTTCAGCGAAGTCTCCCGAGTAGAACAGTACCCCCCATGTACAGGTTTTATGGTGTCTTGGAAAGTTATAGGGTTAAATATAGTGCTAGCAAATTAAATTCCCTTTACTTTCGGCATGGGTTGTCAGGCAGGTCCCGCTAATTGTAATTAATTAAGATACCTAATTATGTAAAAATATTACATAAATATATATGTAGAATTAATATATGTGTATATATATACGTATGTGTATATATATGTATATATCTATATAATTTTTTAAAAATATTTTTATTTATATATAGGTATATATATAGTGATATATACGTATATATTTATGTATATAGATATATTATTTCGTTCTACGTGTATTTTGATATATATATATATATATATTAATTTCACAAAACAGTTAGAACGAAATAACACACATCTATATATTTTTTAATTATTTATTTTTAATTATTTTTTAATTTTATTTTTTAACGTATTTACATTTTTATTTTTTTTATATTATATATAAATATATATATAACAATAATTATATATATATTTAATCAGTATCAGTCTACGTGTAATTTGATATTAATATATATATATAATTATATATATATTAATAGTAAAATACACCTAGACGGTGTATGTGTGTGTATGTATATGTGTATATATATACTTAGATCATATATATATAATATATACATATGATCTAAGTATATATAATTATTTTTTTTTACACCATTAACTTATTTTTATTTTATTTTCAGCCAGCAGGGGGACCACCTGTAATTACAGGCAGCCCCCCTGCCGGCAATACAGAAGCCAGCTATACCCGGCCATGTGATTGTGGGGTCCTCGCTAGGACCCCACTCTCACATGGCCGGGGGGCTTCAACGAGGACGGATGTGCCGCGGGGGGCTCCCTGGGAGTCCCCCCCACCGCGATCGCCGGCGTGGGACCGCCGGCGACCGGGTAAGTTAACAAAAACCGGAGGGCGTACAATTACGCCCGGCGGCGTTTAGAGCCGCCTATTAGAGGGCGTAATTGTACGTCCTGCGGTTTTAAGGGGTTAAAGACACATGACGGAAATATTCCGTCATGATTCCATTTTATTCCAGAAGTTGTGTCCTTAAGGGGTTAAAGCTTTGTAAAAACTCCGTGCATGCACTACTTAGATGTTTTTGGCACTTTTGCTGTGTATTTGTACTGTCATAATTTAATACTTTAAGTGCACCCATAAGTATTACGTATTGTTTTTGTAAAAAAACAGTGCTTTCTACAGTTTTCCTATATGTATACATAAAACATTCTTAACGGACACTCTTTAATCCCCAGAACCACTACAGCTTAAAGAGACACTGTAGGCACCCAGACCACATAAGCTCATTTAAGTGGTCTGGGTGCAATGTCCTATGTCCCTTAACCCTATAGTGGTAATTCTTGCAGTTTCTGAGAAACTGCAATAATTACCCTGCAGGGTTAACTCATCTTCTAGTGGTTGCCTACCAGACATACATTAGAGGAACTTCCAGGTGTTTCAACGACTTTTGGTAGTCTAAATGACGTTGGACGTCCTCACACTATGCATGAGGATTTCCAGCGTCACCGGAATCCTCCTTGGAAAGCACTGAATAATGCTTTCATATGGTCAATATCCTAATGCAAGCATGGCCATTGCTGCACATGACTTCGGCCAGGGAGGAGCGTGGGCAGAGCCTGACCCAGCGCTGAGGGACATCGACGCTGGATCCAAGTAAGTGACGGAAGGAGTTTTAACTGCTTAAGCACCGCATGGGGGAACTGTAGGATTCTATATTGCCAGGAAAACAGAGCACTATAGAATACATTTAATGTGGGCAATTAGACTGTATCTGCAGCGTGAGCACTGAGAAAAAACAGTGTTTACATTAATGCCTTACACATTTCTAGGGACTGTTACTCGGACAGCCACTAGAGACTAACCGGATGCAGCCCTGCAAAGATTATACTACACCGTTTTAGCATCTTCACGCTGTGCATGGAGACGCTGATTGCTCTCAATGCTTCTCTCTGAGGTGATACTAATTGCTGTGCATGCACAGTGGGCCCACAATGCTTCCTTATGGAGAAGTATTGGATTGGCTGAGATCGGTTTTGATGATTTCTCAGCTCTAAGTATTAGGGCCATTGAATGATCCCACAGCTTGAGGAACTGTTGTGTCTGCACAAGATGCTCTTCCAGTAGTTCCCCTTCTTCTAACCATATCTTCTGATTGTGACTTTCACTGCCTCCATATACATTTACTGAAAAAGAGCTCAAAGATTTTAAGTTTTCTTATTTCTCAGTTTGGGGGAGGAGGGGTTGTATATGTATGCTGATACTTTTTTATTTATTTTATTTTTTCATCAAAGTTATTATTGTACCTCAATCTAAGAAAACCTTGTGAGAGTTAATGTGTAGCTTATACTTTGTATTTGGTACATAGTGTGTATCCATTTAGTAAATACTGACATATTAGTGTAAATTAAAATCAGTGAGATGGTGATTTTGTCGGTGTGCTGTAAATGGATTCATTCTGAGTGTGTCTAGCCTGATTTGCCATAGTAGTGCTACAGAACACTTAGCACTTATTCATTTTACATTTCACATGTTGATATTGGCATTTATCCTTCTTTCAAACAAGTCAAATCACGTGACCCTATTAATGATGTCACTGGTAAATCCCCAAGTACTTATTTTGTTTGCTTATTTAAAAAAAAAATCAATCTGATTTGGTTAATTAAAAACACATAACGGTCACTGTATTATCATCAAACCTTTAAGGTTATTGTAGAGAGGTATATCAGTAACTCTAATCATGTATTTGCTTCTTTTCCACCTACTATGCTATGCCATTTTTTTAAACAGATGGATTAAATTAGTAAGGATGTTTATAGTACTATGCTGATTGAGGCAACATGTTTTCCCCTGAATGGAAGCTGATTGTTTGGTCTATTTAAATGCATACATCTAAACGAGAGTAAAGGTTCCAAACATAAAGAAGCTGAGCATCAGAATATCTTTACTTTTCATGATGCAATGGAATGCAATTTAGTCACTACATCTTAATGAGTGATTCCAACCTAAAAAAAGTTTTAATAAAACACTGTTTTTAATTAGTCACTCTTCCTATCTGGCACTATAAACGTAACAGATAGAAAGAAGGGGGAAAAAAAACCTAAAACTTCCATTCCAGCACAGAGTCCAAGTCTCCAAGCTTCACATCGATTGATGTCTTGTAGCAAACTCAGCATGACAATATGTCATAGAATAATGTGTCAAAGTATTGTGAAGAGATCACAGTATTTGGATATGCTAGTTGTAATTCTGTAGAATACTTTAAAAGAAAAGGGTATACTCATGGGTCTAATGCACTGAGATCTCATGTTTCCTTGCTACATGTACATAGGGAACTGAGTTTCAGCACTTAAAGGGACACTATAGTCACCAGAACAACTACAGCGTGTTGCATTTGTTCTGGTGAATAGAATCATTACCTTCAGGCTTTTTGCTGTAAACACTGTCTTTTCAGAGAAAATGCAGTGTTTACATTACAGCCTAGTGATAACTTCACTGGCCACTCCTCAGATGGCTGTTAGAGATCCTTCGTGGGTCATGGTTGCCTAAAATGCATCCAAACATTCAGTATCTCCTCCCTCTGCATGCAGACACTGAACTCTCCTCATAGAGATTCATTGATTCAATTCATCTCTATGAGGAGATGCTGATTGGCCAGGGCTGTGTTTCAATCATGCTGGCTGTGCCCCTGATCTGCCTCTTTGTCGGTCTCAGCCAATCCTATGGGGAAGCATTGTGATTGGATCAGGCTACCATGTCTGATGATGGCAGTCGGCAGGTCTAAAGGAAACGGGGACAAAATAAGCAGCTGCAGACTTGAATACAAGTAAGATTTTACTATATTTAGGGAGGCAAGGGGGCTAGATGGTGGTTTTAACCCTATATGCATGTTTGTGTTCCTGACCCTATAGTGCTCCTTTTATGAAGAGGGGAACAATCCTACAGAACCCTTGACTCTGTATGATTATTCCTCTCTTAGAAAGCAAAAATGAAGCGTAGAAAGCAAATGAAGATGTACTCTACCTTCATTCTTTCTATGCATTTATCTAGCTAAGTGTGAGTTTAAAGTCATAGAGTTTCAAGGACTGGCACATTCGTAATTGTGAGCACTCCACCTGGCACTTGTGACTGTGAGGATTGGTGACGTTTCATGGTCATTATGTGATATATATTTATGGAACACTTTAGGACAGAAGTAGGCAACCTTTTGGTAGTGTCAAACAGTGATACAAACAAGTAGTGTGTAACAATCGTACAGATATAAATAAGAGCAGCTCAAAACACTCCTAAAGGGCACCTTAGTTCCCTCATCAAACAACAATGTCTATTAAAAGTGTATTACAAGTGCAAGACTTGTAACACAGTGGAGCATTGTTTAAATAAGAAAAGACTTCTTACCATCTTGCCAATAAGAAGTCACATTCAGATATGTAGAGCGCAGGTGTCTGACTTGCCCTTCTTCATGATCAGGAGGTAATCAGGACAGGAAAAGGGGAAAACCTTATATAAATGAAAAGGCATTACTGTGTGGGGAGACTGTGTTTATCCCATGCAATAGGCCAACTGATTAAAATAAAAATCATTATAATTAAATATTAAGTATGGGAATAAAGTAGAGAAACTTAAAGGGACACTATAGTCACCTGAACAACTTTAGTTGAATGAAGCAGTTTTGTTGTATAGAACATGCCCCTGCAGCCTCACTGCTCAATCATCTGCCATTTAGGAGTTAAATCCCTTTGTTTATGAACCCTAGTCACACCTCCCTGCATGTGACTTGCACAGCCTTCCATAAACACTTCCTGTAAAGAGAGCCCTATTTAGGCTTTCTTTATTGCAAGTTCTGTTTAATTAAGACTTTATTATCCCCTGCTATGTTAATAGCTTGCTAGACCCTGCAAGAGCCTCCTGTATGTGATTAAAGTTCAATTTAGAGATTGAGATCCAATTATTTAAGGTAAATTACATCTGTTTGAAAGTGAAACCAGTTTTTTTTTTGTTTGTTTTTTTTGTCAGTCATAGCCAGGGGAGGTGTGGCTAGGGCTGCATAAACAGAAACAAAGTGATTTAACTCCTAGAGAGCAAAAAATGGGTCGCAAGATGGTTTTAGCTCATCTTGTGCCATTACAGAGAGAACATATTTGAAGCATATCAGACTGGTCCCACCCATACAGGCAGTCCAGATCCGAAATGCCAGCAAGTTCTCTCTGCACGAGAGACACTGAAACCCCAGACGATCGTTTCAGCCTTGTTAGGCAGCATCAGTGAGGCATAGCTGATATCTCTCTAGGCACCGTGAGCAAGGGGTCGACGTCTGGATTACCCTTTAAACTAATGGAGAGCAAAAAATGGGTCGCAAGAGTATTCTGAGAACGGACAGCAGCTAAAATAGCCTGCCCTTCGGTGGGTCCCCGCTCAGAACTCATGCTGGTTTTAGCTCAACTTGTGCCATTACAGAGAGAACATATTTGAAGCATATCAGACTGGTCCCACCCATACAGGCAGTCCAGATCCGAAATGCCAGCAAGTTCTCTCTGCACAGGAGACACAGCAACCCCAGACGATCGTTTCGGGGGGATCCACCGAAGTGCAGGCTATTTTAGCTGCTGTCCGTTCTCAGAATACTCTTGCGACCCATTTTTCGCTTTCCATTAGTTTAAAGGGTAATCCAGACGTGGACCCCTTGCTCACGGTGCCTAGAGAGATATCAGCTATGCCTCACTGACGATGCCTAACAAGCCTGAAACGATCGTCTGGGGTTGCTGTATCTCTCGTGCAGAGAGAACTTGCTGGCATTTCGGATCTGTACTGCCGGTATGGGTGGGACCAGTCTGATATGCTTCAGATATTTTCTCTTTGTAATGGCACAAGCTGAGCTAAAACCAGCTTGAGTTCTGAGCGGGGACCCACTGAAGGGCAGGCTATTTTAGCTGCTGTCCGTTCTCAGAATACTCTTGCGACCCATTTTTTGCTCTGATTTAACTCCTAAATGACAGTGATTGAGCAGTGAAATTGCAGGGGAATGATCTATACACTAAAATCGCTTTATTTAGCTAAAGTAATTTAGTTGACTATAGTGTTCCTTTAAGATACAAGGAAGTAAAATTATGTGGACTGGCTGACAATGTAATTAACGCCTTAAGGAGTGAGCCAAATGTACACGTTGTGATCAAAACAAAATGTAAACAAAACCTATAATTTGGCTATATGTCTGTCCAACCGTAATTCACCTCTTTCATATTAAATGCACCCACCCTTATTATATATCATTTTATTCAGGGGAAACAGGGCTTTCATTTAACATCAAATATTTAGGTATGAAACATAACTTAATATGAATAAAATATTTTTAAAAAATGGGAGAAAATAAGATTTTTTTAAAAATTGTTTAGTTCTATGCGGCATTTTAACTGTCATAATACTGTTTGCTTTTACTGCAATAAAATACACATATTTGTGGGCGGGGCCTGGCCGCAGAGCTGTGAGGAAGCTCTCCACAGCAGCTCCTGCTTAACTCGGCACTTAACGCTAAATTTCACCGTCACACAGGCACTTAATTGTGAATTTAAAGCTACCACTCGAGAGTAGACACTGAGGGGAAGAAAACGATACCTCTCCAGCGACAAACCGAGCACAACCGACAATGAGGCCTAGAAGCATGGCAGGCGCAGGGCGGACGGCCGCTCCCCAGCTGCAATGCCATGCCCAGAATCTGGCTGCAAGCCCTCGTTCCCCCCCTCTGGACCGGTGGGGGTTATCCCGGTCTACCCCCAACTGACTCCCTGGCAAAGCAATGGGCCAGAATCGGCTCCGTGGAGCCCAAAACCAACAGACCCAGCGGTCTTTAATATGGCGGAAACCTCCCACACCTCCGACGCATGGCGGGAAACGGAGACGCGACTGAACAGCATCTTCGCTATTTTCTGGGAGTCCCTGGAAGCCCGCATGAGAGCCTCAGAGGCTGAAGAACCACTCCAGACTTCACCACAGCGCACCTCACAGGAGGCCAGATGGGGACAAACAGCAGCGCAGCCCCAACAACAGCTGTATCACAAGGGTGACGCTAACCCGAACCGGCAGGGGCAGAGGCTAGTCACAAGGCCCCAAAAAAACGGAAGCTGGACAGCGGCGGAGGGTCAAGTACTCGCACCCCCCATGCAAGGCAGTGAAATGGAGGGGACCAGCGAAGCTGAGCACAAGACCTACCCAGACAAGGCGAGTGAAGCAGAGGGGAACAGGACCAGGGGAGGTGACTGCGTCAGGAAGGTACATACAGAGCTACCCCAGCCCAAGACAGGCAAACCTTCCCCGATGCACAGCTTGGCTGGAGCTACACTCAGCGCCCACAGCAACACTGCATAGCCTAGGGGACATCAGCTCCTTCACACCGAGGAGATCGCACCAGCTGCACCGATTACCGCAGGAGGTACATACACAGCCCCAACAAGGCATCGGCTGACCCCCAAAGGGACCAAGACTCAAATCTGGGCATAGTACCATCTGTCACACAGCTCTCTGTGCCCCAACTGAACTCTCACAAATGTATACTGGAACATATAATTAGCTTCTTTTGCTTTCTATTTTGTTTTCTGGTCTGTTCGCCCAGGGAAGCACGGGGGGGATTAAAGTCAGAGTTCAGCAATTGTATAATAGGAGTACACAAGCTAAGATTAGCCAGGATTTAAGCAACTAATTTACTTATAGTATGCTTGGCTTTGCGCCATGTCTGTAAACTGCTGTTTAACTGGTGGGCCCCAAGCAAAATATATGCTCCTGGACCCACAAATATTGCTGGAGCATCATAAGATCAGCTATGTTTCTGTCCTACACTATACCTCAGCTAACGATTGCTTCTGATTAATACTTAATTACTCACACAGGATCAGCCCTGACTTAGGCCAATAATATACTTTAGCTGGTTTAGTACTGCGAAATGTTATCAAGCTGCTGCTTAGCATATAGGCCCCAAGCGATACATATACCACAACACCCACAAACACTGCTGGAATACAATACTGTATACCTCACATAAAGGCGTAAACCAACATGTGACCCAGCTACTTAAACGCTTTTGTCCATACATGTGTTGAACCGTACACTGCTTAAGGTTGTCTTTCCTGTTCACTAAATTACAAAAACGTGCTGAGTTAACTTATGCCACGAAAATGTTTTACTATGTTATATTTGACTGCGTCTGTTACAGCTGTTGTGGCTACACAGACACTGTTGTAAATTCTTGCACGACAAAAATAAAGAATTTAAAATAAAAAAATAAAAAAATAAAAATAAAATAAAATACACATATTTGTATTCAGCGATACTTCACTGTTATAACAGTACCCCCTATGTACAGGTTTTATGGAGTTTTGGGAAGTTACAGGGTCAAATATAGAATGTTAAATTTTTCAGTTTTTTTCACATTGAAATTCGCCAGATTGGTTACATTGCCTTTTGAGACTGTATGGTGAGGGCCAGATTAACATAGGGGCTGATAGAGCTGCAGCCCCAGGCCCATGGAATAGGCCCATTGATTTTTTATTTTTATTTTTTTTTTATTTATTTTTTAAACAGACTACTCTTAGGGATTCCACCTGGCTTTTATTTTATTGGCACAGCCATTATTTGAGGCTGCCTGGCTGGTTCCAATATTGCAGTCATACTGGCAATACAAATGCTGGTATTTTTTTCAGTATAAACAGAGATTACTATGCAATAGCAGCACTGGCCAGTAGGGGTCGCTGTGTGTGGAGAGAGGCAGGGATAGGAAGTTCCAGCATATACCTCTCCCAATATCCCTTAGTGTCTCAGTGTCCCCATGTCTCCTTGCAGCCGTTCCCCCCATCCCTCACTTAGGCCATCTCTGCAGGGTGGGAGTTGCTTTCTGGACTCTCTGTAGCTGCTCACCTGCAGATCAGTGAGTACTATACTGATACACAGATCTGCAGGTGAGCAGCTACAGAGAGTCCAGTAAGCAACTCCCACCCTGCAGAGATGGCCTAAGTGAGGGATGGGGGGAACGGCTGCAAGGAGACATGGGGACACTGAGGGATATTGGGAGACATTATGACACAGACACTTGGGGACACAGTGTCCTCTAGTCTCCCAGTGTCTCCTAGTGCCCCATGTCTCCTAGTGCCCCATGTCTCCCAGTGCCCCAAGTGTCTAAATGCCCCCATGTCACCATGTCCCCCAGCCAGTGTCTCTAGTGTCTGTGTCCCCATGTCTTTAAGTGTCCCCTATTTTCCCAGTGTCCCCATGTGTTCCAGTCAGGGTGCTGTCTGCATTATATGCCCTTAGTTGGCCAGGCAGCCTACCATGCATTCATGCCAGGCTGGCCTTCCAATTCTTTGGGCAGACATGTCTTCTTTTTGGGCATGTTCGGCCCTTTTGGCAAGTTACGTGATTTGTCAGTGGCACACCCTTTTACCGTGCCAATCGACTTCCTGCTTGACTGGACACTGCTGTTAGGGGGTATGGCTTTACTTGAAAGATGAAAACATAAATTAGAGAGAGATTAGCATAGGGTATGTTTTTTTTATAGCTGCTGTTTCCTTTCTCTCCATCACCATCTCCATCAGATACATGACGCTTGGGAGTGTTTTAGTGTTCTTGTTAAAATTCTGTAATTAGGCGCATCATAATTGTCAGCACCAGGCCCACTGGGCTCTTAATCTGGCCCTGCGCATGGTAGCCCAGGAATGAGAATTACCCCCATGATGGCATACCGTTTGCAATAGTAGACAACCTAAGGTATTGCAAATTGGGTATGTCCAGTCTTTTTTAGTAGCCGCTTGGTCACAAACACTAGCCAAAGTTAGCGTTAATATGTCTGTTTGTGAAAAATGCACAAAACTAATTTGAACGCCAATTTTAGCCAGTGTTTGTGACTAAGCGGCTACTAAAAAAGACTGGACATACCCCATTTGCAATACCTTGGGTTGTCTACTAATGGCAAATGGTATGCCATCATGGGGGTAATTCCATACGGTCTCAAAGACAATGTAACCAATCTGGTGAATTTCAATGTGAAAAAACTGAAACGCAAGCCTTATATTTGACTCTGTAACTTTTGAAAACACCATAAAACCTGTACATGAGGGGTACTGATATACTCAGGAGACTTTGCTGAATACAAATATTTGTGTTTCAAAACAGTAAAAAGTATTACAGCAATAATATTGTCAGTGAAGGTGAAGTTTTTTGCATTTTTCACACAAAAATGGCACTTACACTGATGATATTATTGCTGTAATACATTTTACTGTTTTGAAACACACAAATATTTGTGTTCAGCGATGTTTCCCGAATAAAACAGTACCCCCCATGTACAGGTTTTATGGTGTCTTGAAAAGTTATAGGGTTAAATATAGTGCTAGCAAATAAAATGACCTATACTTTCGGCCTTTGTTGTCAGGCAGGTCCCGCAAATTGCAATTAATAAAATGACCTAATTATGTAAAATTATTACATAACTATATACGTAGAATTATTATATATTCGTGTGTGTGTGTGTGTATGTAATAAAAAAAAAAAAAATTATATATATATATTTCGTTCTACGTGTATTTTTATATCAATACAGTTACAACAAAATTACATATATATTATTATTTTTGTATTAATTTTTAACGTTTTTGCATATTTTTTTTCTAATATATTTGTTAATCAATATAAGCCTACGTATATTTTGATATTAATATATATATATATATAATTATAATAATAAACTACAGTGTGTGTGTGTGTGTGTGTGTGTGTATGTGTATATATATATCCAAAGAGGTAGCAGCACTCACGGAATTAAAAGTTCAAATCTTTATTAGGTCATATTAAAAGTCAGGATCAACGTTTCAGTCCTCTATATGGGACTTTCCTCAAGATCAATATAACTACATAATCAACAAGGAAAACATATATAGACAAATACATTAACTAAATTAGCTTACCCCCAGGTGAAGTGCATTCTAAAGTGCTCCGTGCGCATGTGAAAACAAGGCTCCACCCCCACGTGACGTCGCGGCATGCCGTCATCACGTCAGTTTCCATGGTGACGCGGCGCCGACCTAGGGGGAGTGCATCAGCATTGTAATGTGCTCATGTGCAAGTAAAGCTCCACCCCCACATGACGCCGTAACGTGCCGTCGTCGCATCTGTGTCCGTAGCAACGCGGCACACACGGCCCTAACTATGGAGATGAAAAAACCTTAACAGTGTATGAAACATTGCACGTTCTGAAGATCAAGGAGGTGGGTGATAGAAAATAAAGTGCATTTAATATGTTAAATATGGAATAATATATATAGTGAGTGATATGTGTAAAAAATCTTACTTGCCATAATGTCTAATTATGAGGCTGGTGACAGGTAACTACAAAGGGACCATTCATAATAAGAGGGTCTAGTCAGGGACGTATTAGCCGCGAGGCAAACAAGGCATTTGCCTTGGGCGGCATTTTTCAGGGGATGGCAAAAAACGCCGCCCCCCAAATGCCCAGGGCAAATGCCTAGTTAGCCTTGCGGCTAACTGACATCCCGGTCGGGCGGGCTGCTCTGGCTGCTGTGCGGGCGGCTGACGAGGGAGCACTTCCTCTGAGCTGACTGCTCATCATCCGGCTCCCAGCCTCACTCTGCGGCGCGCGAGGGAGCTGAGCAGTCAGCTCAGAGGAAGTGCTCCCTCGTCAGCCACCCGCACAGCAGCCAGAGCCGCCCGCCCGGCAGCCACTGGACCACCAGGGAGAGAGAGACCTCCCCACCCCCCAGCACTCCCAAAGGTAAGGAGGTTGGGGGGGGCAACACAAAACCAGGATACACCACTGGGTCTAGTATCAAGTTATCTACAAAGTGCCATCTGAGAAAGACTAAAGTGCCATGCAGCTTAATTTAAAGTGCCAAGCTGTGAAATTGTAAAGTGACAAAGTGAGTTAAATCAAGGGTATAACTATATGGACAAACTCTTGTATACATTTATATACAGGCAACATCATTAACAAGACGAATACTCCTAAGTGGACTCTGCTGTCAGGACTTAGAATGTAGACCCTAAAGGAAACTATATTTAATTCATAGCTAATACATCTCTTAAATGGGAGTATTATAAATTCAAGACTTGTCCTGGCACATTCCTGTACTAATTCACTTTTGAGTATAAACCCATTGTTAAATGAACATCTATTACATAATAAAGAGGATACCTGTATATTGTTAATGCCCACAGTAAACAACTTGATAGACACAGACATATACTGAACACATTGTTAAGAAATTAAAAAATATACAATCAAGCTGGAGCTGTAATTCATAAAAAAGAATGGAAGTAAATGGTTTCATTAAGTCCTTTTGGAAATACAGTGTCTAATTCAGAAATCCAAAATGCTTTCCGGTTCAACAATATTCTCCCACGATCGCCTGTTCTTCGTGATATGGGCACATGGTCTATACCTAAAAATTGTAAGGAAGCCAACGGGTGCTTATATTGCAGGAAGTGCTTAGCCACTGGTTTGTCAGATGTACCATGCCTGTGGGCCAACCTGATGCTGGAGCGGTGGCCTCTGATTCTTTCACACAGGGCTGTTTCGGTTTTCCCGATATATACCAGTCCACACGGGCATGTAAGTTTTTATATATTACATGTGTTGTTTTACATGTAATTGTGTTGTATGGTGTACTTCCTGTTCGTATGCAGATGGATAAAACTTTTTGAGGGCATCATGTGCCCACACGTTACGCATTCCAAGCAGCGTACAGATCCTCGTTTCTGGATCACACTTTAATTTGCATAGCTATTGATTGGATCTGTATGTACCAACATATCCTTTAAGCTCTTATTTCTCTTATGGCAAATCAGTTAAATTACATAGGAAGAGCATTGATTTGGACCTTCGTGACCTCTTTCTCTCGGACTATTATAAGGCTAAAAGAATCCCTAGAGGGTTCAGGATAATGAATATCCCCACCATTGGTAGGGGTAAAGCTAAGGTTTGCAAAAAATGGACTATGGTGTTGAACAGGGCATCTTTAGATATGATGTTAATTATCATTAAAGATGTGAAAGAGGACTTAACAGAAGTCCATCAAAAAATCATAGAGACAGAAACTGAACATGCCATGTTACTTGCCTCTACAGATGGATTAAAACTACAGCAAAAACTGAAAGAAGATATTTTCAAGTATAAAAAAATGAGCTGATTAATTTCAAAAAACAGAAATTAGAAAAGGTTCAACAAGACCATTGAGTCTATAGATGGCTATCTGGCAGCAACATGAGCAGACCGAGACAACGTAGAAGGATTATAAAACCCAGGATAGTCACTATTGACAACACAGGTGAATCAGCTTTTGAAAATGATCATAATGAATCCACCAAAACACCATCTTCTTCAATTTTTTATTTTTTTATTTATTTATTTTTTAGGAGTCCCAGAAATGGGTATCTCCACCAGGAGCCAAAGAAAAGAAAACTTAGAACCAGGAGAAGCCACAGGACCAAGAAGCATGCCAAGGGGCAAACCACCTCACAGAAAGTAATACCTATATTCAACCTGTCTCATAGTCCCTGGCTCAATAGATTAATTTCATCCTGGATTAATGGTCTATCATTTGTACCCACTACAAAACCTAATAGATTCCAGTGGAATGTTGAGTGGTACAAATGCGGCAGGAATATGCGTTTTTAAAAGAATATTTCAATCACCCAGACAGAGCTCTAACAATAGAGCAACAGAGAAATTTCGGCTCAGGCACACCTTTGATCCTGTAACAAACAAATCCTCAGTTAAAACCTTTTTAGCCATGACAAACAGGGAAGTTCATGAAATAATGTCCAAACGAGGTAGCACACGACACAGCATCACCAAGCATCAACGACAATTACTCAAAAATCTCGGGGAAGATTCTTCTGTAGTGATCCGTTCCGCGGATAAAGGAGGAGGGATAGTCCTGATGGATTACCAATATTATGCTGCTGAATTAAAACAACAATTATATGATACCAATACTTATATAAAGTTGGATGGAGACCCTACTAAAAGGATCCAAAGTATCATGCGGGATATACTCTCAATGGGGCTAAGAGCGGGCTTCATAGATCTTGAGTTATATCAATTTCTAAATCCGCAACATCCACGTAGCCCAATTATCTACAGCATACCTAAAATCCATAAAGACTCTCAAAGACTTCAAGGACGTCCTATAGTATCTGCAATCAATGGAGTACTGGAACCACTGGCCAAGTGGATAGATTCTCTTTTTAAGAAACCAGTTGAAGCTTTAGAAACCTGTATAAAAGATACACCAACACTTTTACAGAGATTAGCTGAAATCAGGTACCAGGATAATAAACCCATCTTGATTACTATGGACGTGAAGAGTCGATACACCGTTATACCGCACGGCTAAGGGGTGGAGGCTATGAGAACAGTATTATCCCACTCATCAGTCTATAAAGGACCCCCCATAGAGTTTGTATTGGAAGTCCTGACACTGGCCCTGGAGCATAACTATTTTCGCTTTAAAAAGGAATGGTTCCTGCAAGTATCGGGTACATCTATGGGGGCGGCAATGGCCCCCATGTATGCTAATGCGTACATGTATGGATATGAGAAGAATAACATCTTGATACCGTATGCCCACCTAATACAAGGTTATTATCGCCTTATTTATGACTTGTTAACTATCTGGAAGGGCACGTTAGCAGAGGCATACCCTATGGTTGAAGATTTGAATAGACTGCAAACCCCGATTAGAATAACAGCAAATATCAGCCCCGATAAAGTACAATACCTGGATGTCGAATTATCTATTGGGAAGAATAACATTGAGTATTGCCTTTATACAAAGGCCGCGGATTGAAATACCTTACTCCATGCGCAAAGTGCACACCCTGAGGCTTTAAAGAAATCTTTACCGAAAGCACAATGCCTTAGAGTAATAAGGAACAACTCGAATGACATCGTAAAAGAAATGAAATGACTAACACGTTTTTGAATCGTGGATATCAGAGCCATACCCTCAGTAAAGCTTTAGAAGATGCTAAGACAACTCAAGCGAGGAGGGAGGCATCTTCAATTCAATGATTAGTCTTTCCCATGACTTTCCACAATTTGACTCCTCAGACTTCTGCAACAATCTGGAAAAATTGGAGAATATTGGCTACTGATGATACCCTTCCTAAGGTCTTTCATGAAACTCCACTGATTTATCATAAGAGAAATAAGAGCTTGAAGGATATGTTGGTACATACAGATCCAATCAATAGCTATGCAAATGAATGTGTGATCCAGAAACGAGGATCTGTACGCTGCTTGGGATGCGTAACGTATGGGCACATGATGCCCTCAAAAAGTTTTATCCATCCGCATACGAACAGGAAGTACACCATACATATATAAACTTACATGCCCTTGTGGACTGGTATATATCGGGAACACCGAAACAGCCCTGTGTGAAAGAATCAGAGGCCACCGCTCCAGCATCAGGTTGGCCTACAGGGATGGTACATATGACAAACCAGTGGCTAAGCACTTCCTGCAATATAAGCACCCGTTGGCTTCCTTACAATTTTTAGGTATAGACCATGTGCCCATATCACGAAGAGCAGGCGATCGTGGGAGAATATTGTTGAACCGGGAAGCATTTTGGATTTCTGAATTAGACACTGTATTTCCAAAAGGACTTAATGAAAACATTTCCTTCCATTCTTTTTTATGAATTACAGCTCCAGCTTGATTGTATATTTTTTAATTTCTTAACAATGTGTTCAGTATATGTCTGTGTCTATCAAGTTGTTTACTGTGGGCATTAACAATATACAGGTATCCTCTTTATTATGTAATAGATATTCATTTAACAATGGGTTTATACTCAAAAGTGAATTAGTACAGGAATGTGCCAGGACAAGTCTTGAAATTATAATACTCCCATTTAAGAGATGTATTCGCTATGAATTAAATATAGTGTCCTTTAGGGTCTACATTCTAAGTCCTGACAGCACAGTCCACTTAGGAGTATTAATCTTGTTAATGTTGTTGCCTGTATATAAATGTATACAAGAGTTTGTCCATATAGTTATACTCTTGATTTAACTCACTTTGTCACTTTACAATTTCACAGTTTGGTACTTTAAATTAAGCTAGATGGCACTTTGTAGATAACAACTTGATACTAGACCCTCTTATTATGAATGGTCATTTTGTAGTTACTTGTCACCAGCCTCATAATTAGGCATTATGGCAAGTAAGATTTTTTTTTTTGTCTATATATGTTTTCCTTGTTGACTATGTAGTTATATTGATCCTGAGGAAAGTCCCATATAGAGGACTGAAACGTTGATCCTGACTTTTAATATGAGCTAATAAAGATTTGAACTTTTAATTCCGTGAGTGCTGCTACCTCTTTGGATATTTGGATAACCAAGCCCTGTCTGAGCACCCGGCAAACTATAGCGTGAGTGTAAGAGTTTTTTATATTTTATATATTTATTTATATATTTTTTTTATATGTATTAAGGCAGTTTTGCCTGTATTTGTGGGAGGGGCTTAAATTAATTCACTCCCCTATATAAGGGACACCCCTTACCTGACTCATATCGCTTGAGGTCAGCATCAGAATGATTTCCACTTCCGGGTCATCCAGACGCCATTTTACCTGATTACTCCATGAGGTTTTCTAACCTGAGCTGTGTCAGGAATCCAGCCACAGGCTTTTCCGGCCTACCACCTTCTTTCTTCAATCTATCGCTGTGGATGGTGTCCAAGTGACTCACAAACCGTAAGTTGACCTACCCATTACGCCAGGCATCAGTCCCACGGCACCATGCAAGGGTCAGGTCCTCACTTTACTGCTGCATTTTGTCTAAGTCTGTTCTAAAACCATTGCATGTTCATGCATATCATTCGTTTAAACCCCCTACTGGTCTTTGGGTGTACTACAGACTTCTTAGACATTATCGCATTTCATGTACAAACCAACGAACCACTGCATCTTTGCCTACACACTGACCCCTACCGGTCATTCGGTGTACTACAGGCTTCTCAGACATTATTGCATTTCATGTACAAACCAACGAACCACCGCATTTTTCACCTACACACTGACCCCTATTGGTCATTCGGTGTACTACAGGCTTCTTAGGCATTGTTTGCATTTTCATGTACAAACCAATAAACCACTGCATTTACACCTACACACTGACCCCTACTGGTCTTTCGGTGGACTACAGGCTTCTTAGACATTATCGCATTTCATGTACAAATCAACGAACCACCGCATTTGCGCCTACACACTGACCTCTACCGGTCATTCTGTGTACTACAGGCTTCTCCGACATTATTGCATTTCAGGTACAAACCAACAAACCACTTAATTTTTCACCTACATACTGACCCCTATCAGTCATTCGGTGTACTACAGGCTTCTCAGACATTATTGCATTTCATGTACAAACCAACTAACCACGGCATTTTCGCCTACATTCTGACCCCTACCGGTCAATCGGTATACTACAGTCTTCTCAGACTTTATTTCACTTCATAAGCAAACAAACTAACTACAGCATTTTCGCTTTTATACTGACTCCTATCTGTCATACGTTAGGATTAACCCCTTAGGGACACATGACATGTGTGTCATGTCATGATTCCCTTTTATTCCAGAAGTTTGGTCCTTAAGGGGTTAAAGGGTATTTTTACCATACAATCAGCATTTATGACCTCTACTGGTCAACAGCAAAACTGTCTTCACATGTCATATACAATTTACCAGCCAATATAAATTACACATAAGATTGTTTTAACCCCTTAAGGACACAAGACATGTGACGTGTCATGATTCCCTTTTATTCCAGAAGTTTGGTCCTTACGGGGTTAAATATAACCATAAATGAAACTCCAGCACGGGCTCAAATTCAGGTTTAATTCACAATAATTTACATTTCACATCAAGACCAACAGTGGTTCTATCAACACTGCCACCTACAGGTCTGTCAAGTACATTGACAATTCTCATGGGGTTTTACAAACACCAAAACACTTACACCTATAGGTCAACAGACAAACAACATTTCACATACCAATCAGTATCCAACTACACTGCCACCTATAGGGCACTCGGCAGATCTCCAGTGCACTTGCATTTTGCAACACTATGTTCACTGACCCCTACCATTCAATAAGACATACAACAATTCACATAGCAAGCACTATATCAACATCAGGTATAAATACATATATTATTACACAGTAGCAGACGCGTCTGTATATACGTAACTGGTAATATAGTTCACATACATTTTTCACAGCACGCTGCTCACGCAACAGACTTTCCCCTAGCAAGGGGACATACAACATACAAAGTGGGGACAGACCACATTTTCACTTGTACATACGGCACTTAATGGGTTAAGATTGATACATATTTAACTAGTATGGCTACGATGTTT